ACTCCTTACGGTCAGCGAATATTAACACAGAATCCGACTTAGACTTTGCGAGTGCGTACGACTACCGTCCCGTTGTCCGCGGATTCGTTATTGAACCTAGGATCATTGTCATTAGTCTCTCGAGTATCTAATTACCACGGTTACTTGTCCGGTTCTATGGTAATCGTATTTGCACTAGCCAATGTCTTCTCTATTGCATAACGACGACGTGTAATCCAAACGAAGATTCGCTTTACGCCCCTAACCCTAATTCTAATGTAAACCCGACATATATATACATGTATATAAAATGCGGACACAAATTAATAAAATTAAAGATGTATGAAGATAGACGTACGTGTACATCTAAATGAGCATCTGAAAATAGACACGTTCGTCTATCTTGATACATCTTTAATTTTATTAATTTATGTGCTGATTTTTTCACGATACTGTAATGTCCTCACGCAAGTGTATTTGGTACTATATATATTGTTTATCATCAAATGAACTAAGATCTAATTCCTCTACGTTTATTGTGTACATGTCATACATTATAGACTTTATACGATTCCGAGAAATAGTCTTTTCCATGTTCCCTTCAAAACATTTGATAGAATCTTCGAAACATATATTCTACGCTTCAACGTTTCATTACTTTTTTACATATTTCTGCATGGCATAAACATGAATTGGGTACTCCTTCACTCACAGGCCTACAAACTCTGTTATAATCGTTTTCCACGTAATCACTCGCGTCGAACTGACAAGTCATTTTTCACGAAGTCACAACATTCAGCGGTCGGCAGCACAGGAAGAACAGACATCGGAACACTGCGATACAACATTTTTATCAATCCGTTCAATCCGTTGAATCCGTTCAATCCGTTTCTCGAGCGTTTAGTCACCTGGCAGTGCTCACCGCCAATTCCAAGAATTATCATTTCTAGAAGCAGATGTACCTAATACTATGTTTTAGCTACGGCAGTGTGAAATCCGCACGGCATCGCCTATTTATACAGCAGTACGAGAAATCTTTTTAAATAAGAATTGAATAGCGCAGTGTAATTTCTCAGAATTTTTTCATAAAACTATAAATAACGAAGATATTTAGATGTTCTCTTCTAAATATCGCACCCTGTATGTAGGTGAATTTGTGCGCTGGCTTGTGTATTCGAAGAAACATTAATTCCTATCATAAGGTGTACATAAGTATTCTTTTATCTTTCAGCTAGTATGTAGCTTTTTATTGTTCCATATACGATATCTTCTATGCCTTCTATGAGGCATCAATCATTCGTCGTATCGAATCCTTTTCCATACTTTCTATGTACGTACATGATAAATTTTTGAAGATAATTATAAATACATATATCTTAATGTGTTCTATATTCACAATAGAAAAGTTTGTCGAGTCTCGGGGATAATTTAAAAATATTTCTAAAACTCGAAATCAAAACCTTAAATACAATTGGTTTTCTTTTTTTCTCATATTTTGATACATAAAATCAGACCTTTAATTTTTTCTCGTTATGTGCGATACTTTGTTCACTTACGATTAGTATCATTTTCTATTTATCATATAGTAATATATTCTGTAGTAATCAAGCTTTTGTTATATATCGTGAATATTAATGTAAAAAAGAGAACTTTTATACTGTTGCATTTTTCTACGTGTATGTGCCTCAATATTATGACGATTTTATGATAAATATGAACACACAATAATTACACATACATATAAATCGATATGATAAGTATAAACATATATAAATTCTGATGAACTGATTTGTTCAGTTTGAACTGATGATGTCTAAACACTTCTATTATAGTCTCACATTATTATTTCTCATTACCTTTATCGCTTTAGCAGACAGCAATGTTTTCTTTAACTATTTCTCATACAGCATAATATTTATAAGAAATGACATGGCACGCGAGATCTTGTATCAGCCTTGAGAGAGAATTGTGAAAAGCTCATTATGAATATCGAATTTTATGTCGACTATCTCTGATCTTAACAAACATTGGAGTGAAATAATGAATAGAAATGCAACAACATATATAATCTATCATAATCTATCAACCTATATGATCTACCCATTTTTTTCATACTACTCATTTTATAACTTGCAGTAGTGTATGGAAATTTAGAAGGAACAAAAATATATATATATATAAATACAAGGTATGTAATATATATAATATATAGATTTATTATAAAAATGAGGAATTCTATTAAAACAAATAACTGAATAATTATTTAGCAAAGTAAAGCAAATTAAAATCATATGAAAGGTAAGTGAAATCTGTACATATATTAACGTATATAGCTATTATCGGTCAAGTGCTTGTTTAAAATTGCACCAATTTATAAACGATCAATTAATAAATTTTATTCTTGTTGGCATACCTGTCGGTATGTAGGTGATATTTGGGAAATTCTATCTTTCCAAAAGTCTACTTAGATGACAATTACTTTTATACTCGCTTTGTATGTGCTTATTTCGGCGTTTCTGATCCAATTACGTGTCAAAGTCTGTCGCAATCGTGAAATATTCATAGGATGAAATAAAATTTATTATATTTTTCTGTATAATACGTTTACTCGCGATCAGTCTTTTATTTACAGAAGACTATAAGCAAATGTAATATTAATACAGACTGCTGACGAAAGCGTCACGTAGAAGACACAGGAAATCGCGAAATTAACAGATCACCTCCTTGTCTCCTCACGTCGTAGTTCGAATGTTTCACAAATAAGGTGAGAAATTCGGGCATTAAACATGATAGTCTATTATTATATGAATTCAACAGAGTGTTATATCAAAAATGGTTAATATTAAATCTGGTTATATATTATACTATCTGATTTCGATGGCTGTGCGGCATGCAGAATGTTTTGGCAGACCTGGTTGTCCTATTATTGTTTTCTGAGCCTGTGATAAGAACAACGCAAAGTGTGTTCCTCTATATTCTCTAGCTACAAATATGTTATTCAATTTTAAGATATTTTTGGCTAATTTAAAAAACGGTAGAGAAAGTACGACGTGTGCTGCTTCTTGATCCTCCGTATTTGCAGACTATTATCCGATCGATGTTTCCGCCTCGAGCCCAAACTCATTATCACAAATCTCGGATTGAATTACGACAATTGCTTAATTACGACTATGGTAGAATATAGATTAAAGTGTTAAGGGATTTTCCCAAAGTTCCAAAGGGAAGGGTCCGGTATCCTTCCATCTCCGACATATATATGTCGGGTTCAAATTATGATTAGGGTTAGGGGCGTAAAACGAATCTTCATTTGGATTAGACATTGTTGTTATGCAATAGAGAAGATATTTACTAGTACAAATATGATCATTACAGAATTTGACAAGTACCCGTGGTAATTAGATACTCGAGAAGCTAGTGACTATGATCCTATGTTCGCTTTCTTCTAAAGTCCAAGTTGTACCCAACTTCCTTGTCTACGGTACAAGTATTACTGAATTAACTCTTTGTTAAAACATAGAATATCCA